AATCCAATCTGTGTTGTAAGAAGTGAGCCAGAATTCTCCCTGGAAGCCAGAATGGCCAAACTTTCGTCTCTCATACTTTGGACATATTGTCAGGAGGTCACTAGAGAAAGATCCCATGTTTGGTAAAATGGAGGGTAGGAGAAAAAAAGACCCATGGATTGGCACAGTGGCAGCAGCAATGGGCTCAAATGTAGCAACAATTGTTAAGGTTGGTGCAGGACTGGGCAGTGTTCCGTATGGTTGTGCATAGGTTCCCTATGAGTCAGTACTAACTGACTAGATGGCACCTAACAACATGAGTTGGAACTAACTTGACAACACTTAACAGCAACAATGCCGTCTTAGTGTGTTGTTGTTAAGTGCCGTCAAGTCGGTTCCAACTCATAGCAACCCTGTTTAGGGTTTTTGTGGAGCGGTTGGTGAATTTGAACCGCCAACCCTGAGGTTCAATGCTTTATCCCACAGCGCTACTGTGGCTCCAAAAAAGGTATTCATTACCTTCAAAAATTTGGATTCACTGATAGTGAGGACACAATTTTAAAAGGAATACTTAAGAGCATTTTAGTCATACTGGTTTCTTTCTATGGCCCTGGAAGACACTATCAGGCAATAAAAGAGTCATAGCTGATTAATCCCTTATGACTTGAATGCTCTGAGCTGAACAATTAAGTTACTAATTCATCTTTTTGTTTTTGGAAACAGAACAGAAAATGCTTTTTCTCATTACATACATAGACATATTTCTTGGTTTAAAATGATGTACTTTTCCTTACTTCTTTTGACTGAGAAAGGAGAGAAAGTAGTGAGCATGATAGCGATGGCTTAGGAGGAGAAATTTGTTTCCTCTTCTAAGTCTCTAAGAATACTTGAAATTGCCACCACCACCACAGTCTACAGTTGAAATTCTTAAGTGTAAAAACCTCAGAATTGAATGTGCCATGTTTCAATATGTGCTCAATAAATACTTTGTTGAATGACTCACTCTGACACTTTGGATTTATCCTAGGCTTTCTCTAAAATTGAGCTCAGACCTTAGCAGGCCCTACAAGTATGGGGTACAGTATCAACCTAAGACATTCTGAAGCTGATAGTAACCTCTACACTAGAATCTATATCAAATTTTGGTGTGGGAAAATGAGTAGTTATTAGAGAGAGGAAAGATACCTGCCTTCTTGAACTGAATTAATGGTCAGTCTATATGATAAGCAATGGACTGTGAACCACAAGGTTTATGGTTCAAATCCACCAGCCACTTTGTGGAAGATGAGACTTTTGCTCCCTTGAAAATTTAAGCTCTTGAAAACCCTATAAAATGTCGCTATGAGTCAGAACTGACTCATCAGCATTTATCGAGGCCTGGTGGCCCAGCTGCTAACAGAAGGTCAACAGTTTGGGTACACCAGTCATTCTGTGGCAGAATGATGTGGCAATCTGCTTCTGTAAAGATTGACAGCCTTGGGAACCCAATGTGGCCGTTTCACTCTGTAACATCAATAACATCCAATCACAATGAGTTAGAAATGACTCAAGGACAATGGGATGGTATACTTTGATAAAGATATAGCCAAGGTGGCAGTGCATATGTTTAGCCTAATACCAGCCCAAATGAAGTCCTGGGGTAGTACTGTGGGATAATGCGCTAGGCCACAAGGTTGGTTTGAACTGTAAGGTTGGCAGTTCAAACTCACTAGCCGCTCCTCAGAAACCCTATACAGAGTCAGAACTGACATGACGGCACTTAACAACAACAAACAATAAGCAGGCCAAAAGATCAGAAAAATGATTTACACAACTTAATTATCCTGATGATACAGAATGAATAACTTACTAAACAGTTGAATGAATTATTTGACCCCATCCTTCAGTCTCCATGTGATTGTTGTGAAGTGTCATCAAACTGTTTCCAACTCACAGTGACCCTGTACAGGATTATCGAGGAGCAGCTAGTGGATTTGAACCACCGACCATGTGGCTAGCAGTTTTGTGCTTATCCTACAGTGCTACACCAGGACTTCATAGAGATGTTGAAAAGCCCACCTAAACACATCTCAATTTTCCCCCTTAAATATTATTCTGAACTCAGTGGGGGAGAGGAGGAAATTCTGAAAACAAACACAACTTCTTCACGGTACTTATGTTTTTAAGTAGTAAAAATCTCACCTTTGTGAAATATTATGTTACAAAGTCATGCTCATGAAAATATGTTACTAGCATAAAAACAATAAATGGGCATGTAATAAATATTATCTATAGCCCCACAAATCAATGAGGATAATCTTTTCAGAAGATGACATTAGGAAAATTGTTCCACTGTATAGAGAAAAACAATGAGATTCTGCTTAATACCATGTCTAAAAGTGGACTCCTGGTTTGGTGCAGTATGATAAGCACTGGACTGCGAACCAAGGTCAGCAGTTCAAAATCACCAGCTGCTCCTAAGAAACCCTATACAGGGTTGCTATGAGTTGAAACCAACTTAATGGCACTTAACAACAACAACAAAAGTGGATAACAGATGGATTTAAGACCTAAATATAACAGATAAAAATAAAACGTTAAGAGCAGATAATGCAGGGAAGATAATGTATCTGTGAAAAATACAAAGAAAGACTTCTTAAAACCCCCAAAGCAATAATTACTCTGATTGCATTAAACTAGTGGCTTCTTTCTAACCAAGAGTTAATTGATAATAATACATTAACAGAAAATATCTGTAATATCTAAAAATGACATGAGACTAAAAGTAAGAATACACAATGCACTCCTATAATCAAAAGGAAGAAATTGCAGCTCTCAAGGGGAAATGGACAGAGGATATGAGCAGGCAATTCACAGAAGTGGAAACACAAAGAAATGCAATGCAAATATATTATTGGGAAAAAAAAGTGTTCAGAAAGAAGGGAGATACAGAAACCCTCATTCACTGTTGGTGAAAGCATTCTGAGGAGCCAATTATAAGCATTATTTTGCCCTAGGGCCTGTCTGAGAATGTCCCCTGCAGCTCTGTTCTGATGAACATAAATTGGACGTAATGTGAGAGATCATAAGTAGGGAAAGGGGATGGGAAAATGTGGAGGATATGCACTATGGACTACAAGACAGGCAGAAGCCCACTGGCCACATATAGCTCTTTTAACTGAAATTGAAATAAATGCAAATGAAATAAAATTAAAAATTGAGTTCTTTTAGCTACACTAATCAGGTTTCAACAGCGCATAGTCACATGTGGCTAGTGACTACAATATTATCGTAGATTTAGAACACTTCCCATTTTCAATGTAAAAAATTTTGGGGGGCAGTGCTGATCCACATGAACACAAAGTAATATGAATGATTCTTAAAGGGAATTAAATCTACAGCACACTTATGTCCATTTAAAAATGAATAATAGACACATAAGAATAAAAGAATGACATCAAATATATAAGACCTATCTATGAGGGGTGTTGCCATGAATCAGAATAGAATGGAATGTAACTTTCTTTTAAAGTGAGGTGGGAAAGAATGAACGCAGGAAATAAAGATACTAAAGGGAATGTATAAGTAAAATGAGGCGTTCCTTAGATGGACCAATGAGGCTGAGGAACCATATAGTAAATAGCATTATTAATCTTCAGTTCAACAACATTTTTAAGTACTTGACTGCTAACTGAAAAGTGGAAAGTTCAAACCCACCAGTTGGCCTGTGGGAGAAAGATGTGGCAGCCTGCTTCAGTAGAGATTACAGCTTTGAAAACCCTTTGGGGGCAATTCTATGGGATCCTAGTGAGTAAGACTAAGTAGGAATCCGCTTGATGGCAATGGACTTGGTTTTTTGTGATCCTGGGGGGAAACTAGTAAGCTCTCACTCTTAAGATTCTCAGTTAACACATTGTTAGGTTGCGGAGAGACAATTCCTTGTGTGGCACTGGAGGATAAGCACTGGACTGCTAACCGCAAGGTCAGAAGTTTCAACCATATTGTACAATGAATTACTTGTTCAGTGTTCCTCAAAGACCTATTTTATTAAAAACGGGCGAATTCTAAAAGTGGGACCAGATCAACTTGTATCATCTTTTTGTACTTCTAGTATTTGCTTCAAAAATAAAGAACATTAAGGTAAACTAACTGAACATGGTTAGCAATAAAACGTAAGACGAAAGTCACAGTCTTGATGACACTGATCAGTAATAATTTTCCTTAATAAATTAAAATGTCCTTGAATGAGTTTAAACAATGAAAGAATTTTTAAACATGGTCAGTGTTCAATAAGTCTCCCCCTGCCCTTTCTCTGCATCATCTACATATGAATTGTAAGCAGGTGGAGTTCATTGTAAGATAAATAACACTAACAGAAAACACATCTAATACCTAATATGTGCCAGGTATCGATCCATTTAATTTTCACAACGCTACGAGGCAGGATTTAAAAATCTCCATTTAACAGACGGAAAAAAGGTTAAATTGTAGCAAAGCTAGGATAAACTGCATCACAAAACAATGCTACAATATTATGTTTGTACTTTCTTTTCGATCCATCATCCCAGTGTTTTCAGATTTGTATTTACCTGGAGAATCTCACGGTGCCACAAAGTGGAGTTCTCGGTTCGTGGCTGATGAGCCACACTGCCCGCTGGGCCATGATGGGTCACAAAGAATCGGCCCAAATCTAAGGTCGACACAGCGAAGAGCACAGACGGGCTTTCCCGTATGGACTCTTACCAGAAATCCCGGGGCTCATCTTGAGCTACTGTCTGCTCCACCACTTACAAGTAGGGCTCTTCGGAGAAGCTAGCTCCTGTAGGAGAGATGACTAAAACCTCTTGAGTTCCTCTGGGCCAAAGCATGCCACATCAAGTTGCACCTGCACCTAGAATCTTGAGAAACTTACTTAACCTCACAACTCTATCAGTTTCTTCCTCTGAACGCTACTTCCGGGATGGTGGCCTGCAAGGATCATTATTTCTTCACTAGTCCGTGCAAAGCGTCTCATTTCGTTTCGCTCGCTGCTAGCTTCTTTCCTCCGCCCCTCCCGACAATCTCCCGGGCGCGCGCAGCTCCACTTCCGGCGTGTGAGGCGGTGACAATGGGAGCGGCGCGGGCGGCGCCGGGAGGCAGCTGACAGGCGTCTGCGGCTTCGCTTCATGGCCGCTCTCCCGCCCTGCCTGGGCTCTGTGGGGAGTGGGGGAGCCAGCGGCGGCCCGAAGCCTGAGCTGGCGAACCGAGCGGGGACCTGTGCGCGGCGCCGCTAAGGCGCAGCATGTGAAGAAGGGACGGCATCGGGCGCGGGGCGAGCGTCTTGGCTGGCCGGGATGGCTACGACGGCCGAGCTCTTCGAGGTGGGTACCGGCTGCTCGTCAGGGAGTGGCAGGCCTGGGGGTGCTAGTCGAGGAGCGGGCGTTTGCCCGCCGCCCGGGAGAAGCGCTCGGAAGAAAGGAGTGAAAGCAGTGGGGTGGGGCGGCGGCTCGGGGGTCTGCGGGCGGGGCGCGAATGGGGGAGGGGTGTCTTAGGGACCGCGGTGGGCTGGGACCCGGACTTGGGAAGCGCGGGTGAGGGAAAGTCTCGGAGCTTCGGGCATCAGAAGATGTCTCCTCTGGAGGAGTGGAGCTAAGGAAGGGCTGACTCAGGACGCGCTAAGAGGAGCCCCGAGCCACGTCTCGGTATTTGGATCCTCACCTAAAACTCTAAGGGGGACCACCTAAGATGTGGGCTATTGGGAGCGTTTCCTGGTTATGGAATCATTCAGTTAGAAAATGTTACAAGTTCCTACCAGTGGACCCTTCCCTTTGAAAACGCTGTTTTAGGACGATCAAGTCCTACTCAGCCTTTCATTCTGAAAACGGAAGTGAACATTTGTGTTCAGAACCTTCATCCTGAAAACTGAAATGGATGTTAAGTTTTATAAAGGAATTTTAGTGTTTTATAAAACCATGTAACTGCTAACTGGAGACTTCTTAATGTGTAGTAGACACGGAGCCGTCTTCCTGGTGATTTCACGATCTTGAAACTCACAATTTGGTAAAATCCTGTGTCTTTTTTAAGTTGTGATATTTAGACTAACAGAACAGGAAAACTAATTGGACCACAGAACAATGGCATGTAATAAAGCCATCTCCTTTTGAGAACGAAAAGAAACAAAACGTGAAAACGGGACTTTTTGGGGTGTGTTTACTTGTGTTTCATACTAAGTAAGAAATGTGAGTAATAATTAGGCTGCAGTTGACAATAAATTCCTTCGTGTGAAAAAAACTATCTGTGTTTGTGTGTGTGACATAAATTCAGAAGTTGTGGCTTAAAATTTCAGTGCCACAATTCTTATAACAAATGGACTTTCATTTGTTATTGTTACTGCATTTAGGATTTCAGTAAGAATTTGATAGACAGTGCTTTTGTTTGAGAGGAATATCATGTGCCTTTATTGTAATACATTGTAGTAAAATAGTAACATGTGATTGAAGGATTATAATTGCAGGAAGACGTCGGAAATATTAGGTGTTTTCTCAGATTTCCAGTGTTGAAAGATACTTTACATTAACTTCTCTAATCCCCGAATTGTGCCTTCTGTTTATTGACATAGGAGTAGGAAGCCATTCTTGCTAAGAGCTTTTACTGTGTGTCCTTGGGCAGCATACTAAGTAGTTCAGTGGTTCCTTGTTTTATTTTTTACATTTTATAAAGTGTAGAAAACTATGAAGTTGTCATCTTTAATTTACTTAATTATAAGTAAGTGTGTGATCAGTCAACTATTAATAGAACAGTGTTATATTGACAGAGTTCATAGGACATAAACCTGGAGTTAATGAGTCCTGCTTGACATTCATAATTAAGTTTCAGACTATGTTGTGTGTATCTTTCTTTAAATGTTTGCCCACTTGCATTCCCATAACTTTACATGTAAATCTATACGATTTTTGAGCCCCTTATTTTGTTTTCTAGGCTCTTGCCTTTAATAACTATAGTTAGGGCTTGCTTTAACTCAATGACTCCCGTTACTAGTTGTAACGTGCCTTCAAGCAGATTATGACTCATAGCAACCCTGTATAGGGTTTCTGAGGAGCGGTTGGTGGATTTGAACTACTGACTTTGCGGTTAGCAGTTCCGTGCTTACCCTACAGTGCCACACCAGGGCTTCTGGTTACATGATTTGTTGTTGCTAAGTGCCATTGACTCATAGCAACCCTACATAGGGTTTCCAAGGAGAAGCTGCTAGGTTTGAACTGCTGACCTGTGGTTTGCAGTCCAGTGCTGATTGTACAGCACCACACCAGAAGTTCAGGGCTCTGAACAGGGCTCTGATAGCCAGTAAATAATAAAGTTTTAATAGCAGCTCTGGTGTGGCGCTGTGGGTTAATGCGCTGGACTGCAAAGTTTTTTAAGCCTCAAGATCGGTGCTTCAAGCTCATTAGCTGCTCCTCAGAAACCCTATACATTGTCACTATGGGTCAGAACCAACTCAGTGGAACTTCACAGCAAAAGCAATTAAGAAAAGAAACGTATTTATCTCTTTAGACTTACAACAGACTCTGCTCTTGCACATTTTAATTCCAAGTGGAAAATTGGAATGTTTGCCTTCCAGGGAGAAAAACAAAACAAAAAACTCCTTCAGTCTGCTGTTTCCTGTTGCTGCTGCCATAGGATCTAGATTGTAGGACAAGTGAGGGAGTGTCTTTTCTCCTGCTTCCCTTTCTTGCTTGTTCATAGCTGGAGAACTGTGGAAAAGAGAGGTCAGGATATAGTCAAGGGTATATTGTTTTTATGTACCTATTGTTTTTATGTACCTACTTCTCATATTGAAAGTGCCATGGGCTGCCAAAAGAACCAATAGATCACTTTTGGAAGAAGTGCAGCCAGAGTGCTTCTTGGAGGCCACGATGGCCAAACTTTGTCTGTCATGCTTTGGATGTATTGTCAGGAGGGACCAGTCGCTGGAGAAGGATATCTATGTTTGGTAAGGTGGAGGGTCAGAGAAAAAGAGGAAGACCCCCCAATGAGATGGATTGGCCAAGTGGCAGCATCGGTGGACTCAAGCATGGCAACAGTAGTGAGGTTGGCCCAGGATCAGGCAGTGTTTCATTCTGCTGTGCATAAGGTCACTATGGGTCGGTACCAACTTGATGCACCTAACAACAACAACTTCTTATGTACTTCTCATATAGAGTCTTGGTATGGTGCTATGGGTTAATGCACTAGACTGCAAAGTCAGTTTGAACTGCAAGGTTAGTGGTTCAAGCTCACCCGTCACTCGTTGGAAACCCTCTAGAGGGTCGCTATAGGTTAGAACCGACTAGATGGCACTTAACAATGACAACCACAACTACTTCTCATATAGGAGCTCTGGTAGCGTAGTGGTTACGAATTGGACTGCGAACCGCAAGGTCAGCAGTTCAGAACTACCAGTTGTTCCATGGGAGAAACATGAGGCTTTCTGCTCCTGTAAAGATTTATAGCCTCGGAAACCCTGCACAGGGTTGCTATGAGTCGAAACCAACTCCACGAAACATAACCATCACCACCACTTCTCATATAAGGAGCTCTGGTAGCATAGTGGTTATGAGTTGGGCTGCTAACCTCAAGGCCAGCAGTTCGAAACTACCAGCGGTGCCACAAAAGATGAGGCTTTCTGCTCCCATAAAGATTTACAGCCTCAGAAATGTTATACAGGGTTGCTATGATTTGGAACTGACACAATGGCACTTAACAACAACAACTTCTCATACACTATTAAGTAGAATTGTTCTTTATTTTCCAACATTTAAAAAAAGAAAAAAATTTTTTAATTAAACTTTTTGAAACAATATTTCACAGGTATTAACTCTACTTTTTAAAGTCTTATTTGTCCTGTGACATTTAAACAACTCCATAAGATAGGATCAAGCATTACAGTTTATTTCTTCAGTTAACAGAAATGAGTTAGTAATAGGTGATTCGATTCTTTTAATAGTATAGGTCCTGGAGCCTGCCCAGAATACCTTCTTAGATTGAACCCTTCATTTGGCAGAGCTTTGTGAAATGATGTGTCTGCAGTGCTGCTGCTGCTGATCCCTTCAGGATGGGCATTCTGAACATGGATTCTTCCGTGTTTCAGATTACTTATGTCCTCTACATAAAAAAAGTGACCGAGATAAAAAGGTGACTGTACTACTCAGGACACCTTGATTTTCTCTCCTTTTATTCTTCAAGAGGCTTTCCTTGAAGCTACTTTTACCTGAAGGTTCTCTGGTAGCATAGTGGTTACGAGTTGGGTTACCTCAAGTTTGGCAGTTTGAAACTACCAGCTGTTCCGCGGGAGAAAGATGAGGCTTTCTGCCCCCATAAAGATTTACAGCCTCAGATTATTAAACTAGGGCCAAGTATTTATTCATCACACAAATACTAGTTTAGTGTTCCTTAAGGTGCCAAAGGAATTCTGCTGTAGGATAAACACTGGACTGCTAACCATCAGTTTGGTGTTTCAAACTCACCATCTACTCCTCAGAAAACCCTATACAGGGTCACTATGAGTCCAAACCAATTCGACGGCACTTAACAACAAGAAGGTGCCAAAATTAATGAGATTGCATGTCTTACTGCGACACGCTTGTAGAAATATTACTCTTATGAAATGTGCTGAAAAACAAAACAAAACACCAAAATGGTTTGGAGGTGGTTATATGCCATGGAATCGGTTCTAACTCGTACTGACCCTGCATACTGTTTCAGGAGGCTGTGAATCTGTACGGGAGCAGAAAGCCTCATCTTTCTTCTGCAGAATGGCTGGTAGTTTTCAACTGTTGACCTTGAGGTTAGCAGACTGACTTGTAACCACTACGCTACCAGAGCGAGTGGTTTAGACGTCAAGTAAGTTTTGGAAATGGGTATATTCTATTCTGCTTGGAGATTTACAAAATGCTTTAGTATGTTAAAGATTCTGAAAAGTCCAGTTCCCAAACTGTTGAGATCATGAGGCTTATTTTTTTATGGTTTATTAGGGTAATTTTGTAAGTCCCATGGAACATACTTTGAAAAATGTTACATAAGAAATAAAATCTGTTGTTTTATTAAATAGGGAGGAAAGAGATATACAATAACATACTCCTGAAATAAAGTTAAAATTGGTGTCAAAGAGGTCTAGATAAATGTTGTAGAAGTTGAGAGGAGATTGGGAAGATTACCTCTAGAACAGGGAAAAGAATTGGAGGTGATTTGAATTCTCTGCAAAAGAGGTTATAATTTGAGTCTGTGGAACTGGGTGGACCTTGTAGTAGAGCAGACAATAAAAGCCAACAGCTATAAAGAACGTTAGGTGTGGACCCTGGAGACAAAGGAAGAGTTAATCTCCTGGTGTGGCACTGTAGGATCA